AATAACCCTACCTAATTCTAATACCCACTATTCATCTTAAGACGCATATCCCCGCCTCACAATGAAAAGGCTTCTGTCAATGTCCAGTTTTATTTGGATCCGTGGGACTTGTGTGAATAACAATCCAGTTCGCCTCAAATTACAAGAATTTGACGGAAATAATTTGATATTGTTTCGGAAGTGGGAAGTATGGAGGACATTACTTACAGCATGGGAAGACTCATTATGAACATACATGAGAAAGTGTTAGAGCATAGGCAAGTGAGAAGGGAGAAAGAATGGTTGAATTGTGAAGCGAATCGACTTTCATGCCAGGTGAGTTCTGACGTCTAATGAAGTGAAGAGTGAGCTGTCTGTCCTTGGATGGAGATATCTGTTGTACTGACAACGGTATCTGTCTAAGGCGTTTCAGTTATCGTTGTTTCCAGTTACCAGTGACAATCTTCGCTAGAACAGCTCATCGCTGAGTATGCTTACGGTAACAGATATGCAATGTGATGTCTAACAAAATATATCTGTATTGTCCTTCGATACACTCAGCACGATATCATGTCTGACGTACCTCTAGAATGAATTTAATTTCAGGACAAATGGAATTCATATTCAGATATTCAATCTGAGCTATAAGTGCAAGTTGGTCAACAGACCAACAAAATTGAAAACAAACTTCTCACTGAATAACTAACTCCACAAGTTAATCAGAATTTCACAATATAATCTGAGTGTTATTGTTTCCAGGTCATTTAACCTGAAACGACCTTAAATATCTTTAAGAGAATATAATGATAAGGTGAAAACCACACTCCATCCCAACCCATACATCAAAAAGAGCTCAATAAGACTGTATGGCATTAAAGACAATCAATTCATCACAGACTTAATTGACAACAACACAAATGTCATTGGTCCTCAAAATAAGTTTATCGAGTAGGTGCATCATACACAAATCATATTAAAAGTCAATTTGCATATCTAGTAAGCACTGTGCTATTATAGCTGTGGCTGACACCCAAAACGCACGAGTAACTTCGAGGCTTGAGAGGGGAGTTGTTGGCAGAACATACATGCTCATTCAGAGCTGACTGACTACTCACCTTGTTCACTTTACGTCACATAGAAACTCTTGTTCACACAGCGGGAAACAGGTGGTGAGCAGTGGTAAAGTGACAAGAGAACTGGAGTCAATTAGCTTAATCCATGTTAAGAAAGTGTAAGTTAATTGCAATCAACTCCATCAGCAATATGCTGTCAACAGTCAATGAAAACAAACACGTGATTCAGAGAAGAGACTGTTTCCGGTGAGACTTCATTCTCTCTAGCTCTACTGTACAATCGCTTTTACACGCAATCTGTTCTTCATGACAGGGTAGTGACAAGAGTGATGAGTTGTCATAATCATAGTTGTCAGTATTGGTCAATGCGTGACAGGAGTTGAGTGAATGTATTAGCGTTGTGCAATAAGGTGAATAGTTTAATGGACTAGTTGTACTCAGAACGCACATGAAAACGAGGGAAATAGTGAATTATGCAGGAGTTCTGAAGAAAAAGCAGAGTTATAAAGAGACAGACAAGCGATTGATGTGTCAGTGCATCCCAAATCATTTCTCCTACTGATGAGGGACGTGTCATTCACGCAATGTATCCAGAATTTCGGTCTACTTTATTGGTAGAACCATGGTTTCCAGTCTCTGTATATCAGCCTGAACAGATAGTCGCTAGATAGGTGACCCCACTGGTCTTCCTTTGATTCTCATCCGATATGTGTCCATCTAATTGGAAATATGTCAAAAGAAATAGGTCTATCATCTCCGTGAATACCTTGAACATAGTATTTTCGTGTGTTCAGAGAGACGGCCAACACCACGGATGAATTGTTGCACAACTTCGTTCGCCAGTTTCTGTCGAGTCGAAGTGTGTGATGCATCATGTTATACTCTCATCCAGTTGAATGAATTTGGTTGATTCGAAACTCTCTGTCGGTGATTTGACAGAATGATGATAGATAGATGATGAAGATGTTGCTTGACAGGCTGAATGTTGTCGCACTTTGTGTTAAAATAAGTGATTTTACTCATCTGATTTAATTGATGTGAGCCTACTGTAATGTGGGTGGTGAAACAGTCTCACTGAATTTCAATCACCACCGAAAATTTTTCATAATTCATCCCCACCTTATGTGTGTGTATTTAATCGTTTCTATCTTATTATCTAATGTTCGGGAAGTGTTTCTCGTGGGCTGTTAACGTGCACCGATATCTCTGTGTAAATCCTCTACTCGCTTGATGTAGTCTTCTCTTCACAATAGCTCATCTCTGTTGACTAGGCACTGCGATGGAGGTGTTCAACGTCGACAGGTGTTCTGGTCTGAGAATTCGCTCCAGGTCCTCTAATGAAATTCCCATGATATATGGGTATTTGTGAATCAGCTAGTGCACGTTGGTGACCACAAGTCGCAGTATTTACTTCTATCATTGTTCGGCTAATTCCCACCACAAGGTGTGTTCCACTGGTGGTGAGTATTTGATACTGGTTCACAGGATTCAACGATGGAGTTATACACGAAAACTCAGTAATTCGTCTCTGGTGGATCGACACTGCATTTCAACAAAGTCATTCTATTTTCGGACTGACAAATGCCCACTCCTCCGATATGAATTAGAAATAATAGGGAGACACTGTGTTAGTGTATAATTCCATTGTGGGTAAAATTTATTTCGATGACGTCTCACAGTGTTTTACAGTGGTATTTACTGATGACGTTCCGAACACACTGATATGATTATGAGCAATAAATTGCACTCGAAATTACATCAGTAACATTCCAGCAAGTTCGGAATCCAGCATCACAGGCAAGGTTGGCCTTCGGACGAGCGAACCCTTCGCAAAATATCAATGTGATCGGTACACATCTTCAAGGCACATTAGATATTATAAAACACAAACTGGCACAGAGTCATTCTCCTGTCCACGCCAAGAGACATACTAAATCACGTCATCCTGGAGAGAAATAAAGATGCACTGGATGCAGAATACAAAGGTGAGACAAGGCTGCCTACTATTACCTACTATGATTTTCCTAATTGTGGTTAGCCGAATCTTGTGGGGGTCTGTGAGGAGCGGGAAGACAGGAGTGAATTGCACCAATCAGGAGACCGTAGAACGCCTGGGTTTCATGAATGACTTATGTCTAGTGTCACACGAACTAGAGGACTCACAGGCAAAGTTCGAAATATTGGCGAAGCGGAACAAAGCGACAAGATACAACTTCAAGTGAACCTATAAGAAACGGAGATGATGAAAATAACCAACCAAAATAACCACCAACAACAACACTGCCTCCAACACTACGACCATAACCACCAATGACAAACGCCAATCACTATCAATGGAATAAATTTCAAAGAGGTCATTCAATTGACGTATTTGACTACGCAGCAGAGTTTCAAGCACACGCACTCAGAACAAAGGAGAATGTGGAAACCAGAATCGGAAATGCAAGACGCACCTTCATCACTCTGAAATCAGTTTGGAGATCTTCTGCACTCCGCCTCACCATGAACAACAAAATTCGAATTTTCAACCAACACCAATGTTAAGTCGGTCAGTGTTTCTATATGGGTTAGAGACATGGCTCACGCGTAAAATAGCATATGGCAACAGAAAACTATGCTTGCATATTGTGAAGTTAACTGGCTTTACATGCGATTTCTTACTTAGATTCAGGTGCATACAGGTTCGCACACAATCAAACTATAAAATGATAACAATGAGTGCTTCTTTCTGATTATCTGAAAACATTTATTTCCCGTAGTAAACTTCAAACAAGCAACCGTTGTAAAAACTGTAGTATTTTATGACTTCATAAATCTCAACAGTACTCGTCAACTGAATGCGCTACAAGTATGACTATTTGTGTTGAGTATATTCGGAAATGGAAAATCATGCTTGAGTACCAATTTTGACGAGGAGTGTTGAAACTGACGTCAATTATAATTATATTTCAACAGTTTACACACAATGATTGTGTGTTTGTGTTTTCGGCAATTCATTTGATCTATTGCACAATGCTCACACATCTTACTGACATTTATATGTAAACAGTACAGTATTTGTAGAGTATTCATCACGTGATGTGCCTTACCTGAGTTTGTCAATTCACTTAATACTACTCTCTCCACAGCTGTCGCTTGTCTCCGATTACTTATTATTTCATTGGAAAATGTAGGCAAACTGTTTTTACTGGTGACCCGTTCTCTCCACACATCTGAAGGTCACCCTCATGACAATCATTGGTTCCATTTGATTTCTCAGGTTTACGAATGATTTGAGCCATCATAAACTGAAGTCTCTCTGATTGGCTGTTGTGGGCTGCAGGTTGATTGGCCCACAATTTCGTCATATAAAACTCGTGTTAATCCATAAAATGAAATCAAAATTCTACCTGGCTCCACAAACAAAATGATTCTCAAGAAGAAATCATTAGGAAGTCGTATTCTGATTTGTAAAATAGTCCTTCTCACTATATACACCATTCTAATTGTTCATACACATTTCGAATATTTCCGTTCAAATGAGATTGTCTATAATTACACACGTGAGATATTGATAATTGGAGATACGCAACAAAGTGAGAGTATCGAAACTTGCCGTACAGTGTGTGAAAACATTCACAGTGTTCCCAGACATAGAATAGATGAGTTCAAGCAAAGTGGAGCGATAACGGTGAATGCAAATTTAACGAATGCTGAAAGTATGATGAATGACTCCTTCCCACCACATCTAACCGGTGGCTCATGGATGTTTAAAGAGGAGAGCAATAATTCAGAATCAAATTGTGATCATGTTCCGAAATCCGGTGTTGCAATTATCTTTGTCTGCAAAAACAGATGGAAGCAACTGAATATCACACTGTCCACACTAATTCCAGTTCTTCAGAGGCAGCGTCTATGTTATCGAATATTTGTTGTTGAACAGGGGCTGACGGCCTTTTAAACAAGGCCATGCTTCTGAACATTGGATTTGTAGAAGCGAAGAAACGTTTCGACTTCGCCTGTGCGGTATTCCATGACACCGACTTAGCACCATTGAATGACAGAATCCCATACGGATGTGATGAACAGACAATGAAGACAGTTGTACATTTGAGTGTTGGTGTAAGTTCATGGAATTATACACTTCCCTACAAAACACTGATTGGAGGTGTCTTGAAAATCTCAACTGAACATTTCTTAGCAGCTAACGGTTATTCAAATAGTTATTGGGGATGGGGTGGAGAGGATGATGATTTAGAGAAACGTTTAAATGCTACAAATATACAATACATTCACATAAATGAAAGTATTGCGCGGTATCTGGCTTTACCGCATCCTAAACAAACTCGTTCCAAATCTAAACTGCGCTATAGTCTGTTGGACAAAGCATCTGAGCGTATGCATTTAGATGGTTTAAACACTTTAAAGTATAAAATTATCACAACTTCAGAACGAAGATACTACACTTATTTCTTAGTCTCACTTCATCGACCGTTTTAACTCTACGCTCATTCACCACCTAAATAAGTAAATCTAGCAAATTATATATTCATCATTTATTTTTCACGTCTTGCATGAGATTTTAGTGGCTTATATCACCTGATAGATATATGAACACTGATGAAATACACCCAGATATACCCACACAAACTCACTCACACACAGAAAGAAACTTCACTTAGACAGAAATTATAAAGTGATCCATCTGCACGATTCACCGATGTCTCATCACATCATACCAATCACTTCGAAATGCTTCTCTCCATTCAAATAACTCAAAGGGAACATCGACTGTCATATAGTAGTCTTCTGGAGAATAAATTATCCAACGAATTTATTGACTATCAACAGAACACGTACGTAATTGAATTCTCCTTCCATCTCATAATTTTCGCCTTGACAGCTATCTCAAATCTTATCCTCCCTGTACATCCATCATACTTATAGTCCTATTGTTATTGAGAGCCGAGTTCTCACAGATTTATTCCTCGGAGATTATTGACTTTCCAAGTAAAGCATAAGCATAACAGGAAGGGCGCATCTCTTGCAGTGTCTGAGTATTCACTCTTGACTAGGTGTCATCAATTTCAGTGTTCATTTTGTACATTATTCACACACGCATCATCCCTCTTCATATCTCAACCATCGTCTCTTCAATACAACTGGATTTCTATCGCCTTCAGATGGAAAAGCTTCAGAAGGGTGAATTCTTGTTTGTCGATATGTACTTCTCTTCTTCTCGGTCGACGTGAAATATTAGTGAATTTTGTAAGCACAAAGATTGAACACTCCTCATAATTGCTAAGAGAATACTGTTGTTGTTATTATTATTGTTATTATTCGTCAATTATTTTTATGCCTTTATCGTTCTAAATTTCCCGGATGTTATTTCATAAACCAGAAGTGTGAATGTTTGTGTCATTTGTCTACTCCACCAAGCAACAAGTTGATTTCAAAATAAATGTCTTTCGGTGTTGATTCCTTCTGGTTCTCTATGTGTTTGTGCAATGTATGGTGTGCATTGAGTGAGTTTGAGCTGTGTAGGCATTTCGACTGAGCTTGAAATGCATTCACGCTCAACTGTTTTGTGCACCTCAATATTCGTTGTATCTTGATGTACAGAGTGATGTGCAGTGTGAGTGGGAATACACTCACACTGTGAGTGTAAAATAATTATGTCGCGTTGTATTGGAATAAGTGTGACAATGTCAATACCAGGAGCTTCAACCATTGTTTTGAGAAAGATTCGAGTCGATGCGTTGGTGGCAGAGTAGTTGGGACTCTCGCCGACCGTGCACATGGTCCGAGGTTCGATCCGCTGCCGACGCACACCTTATATCTATGGTCGGCCTGCAAAATTTTGGCTACCGATATCACATGCTGAAAATTCCATACTTGTACCAAAAACACGGTGTGGAATCAAGCTGTAATCAAAAATAAAACAAAAAAAGAAGTGAAAAAATAGATTACACTTCTTAGTAGTGTGTTGCCTAACATTCGTGGGGAGTGAGACATATGAAATATGTGGGTTGTGAAATGAATGAATGAAGAAAACGGAAGAAGAAGAATAGTCGTTTGGAATTGAAGAGTAAGTAGAACTTTCTATCGATGAATATTCTAACACGGATGGACACTACAGAGAGAAACACTGAGTGTCACTCGACATTGTGGCGATATCTCATACTAGATTGGGAATCTAGTAGTACTCAGCCATGGTGTATGAGAGGTAGAAATGATGGTAGTTATGTGTCTCAAATAATGTCTACCAGTAGTTGTGAGGTAGGAGAAAGACAACGTTCAGTGTCTCCTTATTTGCACTCAGTCTGTGAGTGATGTTTGCGTCTAATGAAGAGTGATCAGAAATCTGTCAGTGCTCAACGAGCCTCTCAGCCTTGTGCACATCGCTTTTGCAAGTACTTGGTGTTGGGTTGTTAAGCAATAAGCAGATTGTCTCTGCCTTAGGCGTCTGACTGCACTCGGAGTAAATTTACACGAGTGCAGTATGTTCCGTTCTACTCTAAATCAACAGCATTCAGTGATGCTACATCCCCATCTTCAGGTTCGGATGTTAATGTCACATATAATGCATACTTTACTGCTGAGCTTCAGAATTAACTGCTTGTGTGATGTTCAGTGTTTCTCTACTTCATTTGTGTACGATCTCCTAACTTGACACTTTCAACAGGACATCGGTTATGATGATTCTGTTAACATTATCCCCCTCTTCACGAGATTCTCTGTGATGTCTCAAATTTTCTGTGAGATTTCCGAATATTTTCTGGAATTCTGCATATGATCGGTGATCGACACTTTCATAGAACTCGATGATGCATGGTTGCAGTGTAACTTCAGAGTGTCTCTCTTCGCCTTGACATAAGTTGTTATGAGAGATGGGGTTTCAGGATTACGATGGAGGACTCACTGATCTTAACTCTTCTGTACAACTCGTTTCGCTCACCAGGCAGTTTTGTCTCCTCAAAGACTTACTTATGCTCATTCCTTCTTTCGAGGCTTATTAGTAGTGCAGACTCCATCTATTTCTCTTGCTGTTGCAGCCGCCAATACAACTCGTCTGTCGTTCCTTCCTGTCGTCTTATAATCTACGTCTTTATTACGGATAACATCTTACTCAATAGCTGTTAGATTGATTTCGCTAGTACCGAAATGTGCTCAATTCGCATTGCGTCTGAATGCGAATACTATGAGATGTATTCCAAGCTGCGATGACATACACATAGATTGATAGATGGATAGATCGACTGATCGATCGATAGATAGATAGATAGATAGATAGATAGATAGATAGATAGATAGATAGATAGATAGATAGATAGATAGATAGATAGATAGATAGATAGATAGATAGATAGATAGATAGATAGATAGATAGATAGATAGATAGATAGATAGATAGATAGATAGATAGATAGATAGATAGATAGATAGATAGATAGATAGATAGATAGATAGATAGATAGATAGATAGATAGATAGATAGATAGATAGATAGATAGATAGATAGATAGATAGATAGATAGATAGATAGATAGATAGATAGATAGATAGATAGATAGATAGATAGATAGATAGATAGATAGATAGATAGATAGATAGATAGATAGATAGATAGATAGATAGATAGATAGATAGATAGATAGATAGATAGATAGATAGATAGATAGATAGATAGATAGATAGATAGATAGATAGATAGATAGATAGATAGATAGATAGATAGATAGATAGATAGATAGATAGATAGATAGATAGATAGATAGATAGATAGATAGATAGATAGATAGATAGATAGATAGATAGATAGATAGATAGATAGATAGATAGATAGATAGATAGATAGATAGATAGATAGATAGATAGATAGATAGATAGATAGATAGATAGTGATGGATAGATATCCGGACAGACAGACTGACACACAGAGGGACGATGTCAGTCTGCACACTAGTCGAATTCCAATTCAAACGCATTGCTCATATAACGTAACCAAACAGAGAGCATCCACCTGAATCACAACGCCTCCCTATTATTCCATTATGGGTAAAATTTATTTTGATGAAGTCTCAAAGTGTTATAAGGCAATATCTTCTGATGACCTTTCGAGTGCAATTTATTGCTCATAATCATATCAGTGTGTTCGGAACGTCATCAGTGAATACTACTGTAAAACACTGTGAGACGTCATCGAAATAAATTTTACCCACAATGGAATTATACACTAACACAGTGTCTCCCTATTATTTCTAATTCATATCGGAGGAGTGGGCATTTGTCAGTCCGAAAATAGAATGACTTTGTTGAAATGCAGTGTCGATCCACCAGAGACGAATTACCGAGTTTTCGTGTATAACTCCATCGTTGAATCCTGTGAACCAGTATCAAATACTCACCACCAGTGGAACACACCTTGTGGTGGGAATTAGCCGAACAATGATAGAAGTAAATACTGCGACTTGTGGTCACCAACGTGCACTAGCTGATTCACAAATGCCCATATATCATGGGAATTTCATTAGAGGACCTGGAGCGAATTCTCAGACCAGAACACCTGTCGACGTTGAACACCTCCATCGCAGTATCCAGTCAACGCCGTTAACAACAGCGATGAGCTATCGTGAAGAGAAGACTACATCAAGCGAGTAGAGGATTTACACAGAGATATCAGTGCACGTTAACAGCCCACGAGAAACACTTCCCAAACATTAGATAATAAGATAGAAACGATTAAATACACACACATAAGGTGGGGATGAATTATGGAAAATTTTCGGTGGTGATTGAAATTCAGTGAGACTGTTTCACCACCCACGTTACAGTAGGCTCACATCAATTAAATCAGATGAGTAAAATCACCTATTTCAACACACAACGCAACGCAGTAGATACCGTTGTTTATCTAGTTAGTATGCACAGAAATAAGTCGGAAATGATCTAGACTAACGAACGATTGTTACAAAATGAATAGAGATATTAAGTTAACAGTCTACCTGTGTGAGCGTCAAGCAACTCGGTTGAACAGAGGTCAAATGAGTCCTGGTCAAGAATGTATATAGAAACAAATTAGAGCAGGAAATTACACTGTCAAGACAAGAAATATAATCCTGGTAACAAAATTAACAGGAAACGATTGAATAAGGTAAAGTACATCTGCCAGGGTGAAGCACGCTTTAACAACAACGCTTTCCCTTCGGATGCACAGATTCGGTTTTAATCATTCAGTGATATGTATCAACCTGGAACTGTCTTGGACTTGAGCTATTTGAAAGGGTTTTAGTGCAATGACTTCATGACAGCAGTCTGACAGTTGGAGAGCAAGTACTCAATCGTGATATCACACCACCTTCAGTTTGTGAGTGTTTTCGAAACACACGATTATGCATGAACTTATAGTGTAATACCATCCATGTTCTACTTAGTCAAGTGGTCCCGTCAGCATAAGCACGGTAAACTACCAGCTACGAAACTGTCGAGTAGTGTTCCTT